ATTATTGTTATAATTAATATTATGAGGTGCAAAATAAATGAGTAGATGGGTACAATATTACTTCTCCTTCGCTCATTTAGTAAAGTATATGTTGGGCTATTACCAAATTAAAAATTAATTACTGAGAAACATATATCATGGTTGGGCCTAAATATCATATAAAATACAATTCGCAAATGTAATATTATTATCTTACCGAGTAAGTCTAAAAATTATGCTTAAATATACTTGTAAATATTTTTATGGCTGTGAAAGGCTAATTCCACCAAAACTATTGTATAGATATTAAATTTATCGTGAAAAAAATTACCAAATATCGGTCACAGAGACAATAAACTGATAAGTTTTCATAGTATTTTTAAATATATTTGTATAATATGTTCAATTTTAGTATATGTGGGTTGTATATTGGTTTGTTGTAGTGTATTGCTAAGTGTAATGAAATAAAGTACACACGGAAGAACCAAAAAAAGTTTTAGTACGAATAAAATCAACGTGAAAACATGGAAGTGAAACACGTTTTCAACTATCACTAAGAGGATACCTTGCGAATTCGAAATTATGTAGAAACTATCAGGAGATACATAACTTTAAAACTTATGCTGTAAACAGGAGCACCTCGGATAACATGTTATTCTGTGATAAACAACACATTTGACTAATATTTTTGATTCAATTATTATTATTTAATTTATAAACAAATTATTAATATAATTGTTCGTTTAACCAGTTACAATTTACATAACTATTTTTGGTCATTTGTTTTAATATATATTAGAAAAATATGTAAAAAATGTATTATTCCGAAGTGAAGTTTATTGAGAGTCTTGTTAAAAATGTAACATTCCACATTGATTTATAGTTTACTGTCAGCATGTAATAGTATGCACCTACTACTGTTAATTACCTACGTAATACTTTAAGGTATACAAAAATAATAATAACTTGTTAAAAAGAAAAACCCATTGTTGGCAGGTTGTTGTGTAAATAATTTAAGTTTTGAAGTAAACATTAATGTTATAAAAAACTGTAAAAAAGAACGTCGTGGAAAAATGTTAAATGAACATATACACATGGTAAAAACTATAAATACTACTATTCTATAAAAATAGTACAGATAGAATACAATGGCTAATAGTTTAACATTCATCTTGTTTAAATTAAATTTTCAGATTTTGAAAATTGAAATAAAAATTTTAAACGATAAACGCTTGCAGTTATATTATATTATATAGAACCTAAACTATATAAACATATGATGAAAATCATTAAAATACTATTATAGTAAAATTTTGAAACTAAATTAATTTACAAATATATTTTTATAATCTTTAAGCTTATTAATATCTGGACAACAAGTTGTAATTCTAATAACTGAAATATGCAGAAAATATAAACATTATTGTAACATACATTTTATATTTTAATACATTTCAAGATTTTAGAAAAATGTACAGTTAAAAATTCAATGACTTACCATTTAAAATCTTTACAGTGTGAACATTTATTATAATAAATACAAACATTTTATTCAACAGCAGAAAATTACATTTTCCTTACCAACGATAAAATTAAAAATATGAAGTGATTTAAAAAAAATTACTTTCTAGGCAATAATTTGAACATAATGTACACTATCATAAATATTTTATCTATATGAAAAATCAGAAATCCTTCTTTTTCGACGAAGTGTATAGACCCAATTTTATAACTAATGTATTTCAAGAACATAAAATAATTATTAGCATTAACTTAAGTGTATTGTTACCATATCAAGAACCGTTTTCAATCGATAAAATAATTTAAATATTTTTAATCAACTTCTTAATAAAAATAAATAGTATACACTCTACGGTAATTACCGTAATTAATTTAAATTAGGGTATTTTATATTGATTATTTCTTTCATTATGAATACATTTTAGGTAATCGAAAAATCTAATTATCGTAATAATGTACTGTAACACGATGATCTTGTTTTTGAAATCAAACGATAATATTAATAATGATAATAATGTGAGCACGTGAAAAATTAACGACATTTTACCTACAAAAACGGTCGACGCGAAAAGTAATCTGCCATCGGCGTGGTAGGTACAAAAGCAGCAAAGGGATTGTTCGGACAAAAATCGACATAACATTACCTCGATAGTACGACTGGAACGTATGTTTCTGATCACACTGTATACAATGCGAACATTTTTTCGTTCTGGACAAAAGTTTTGTTTTTATTTAAAAGTTAGACTAATTAATTAGGTGTCATTTTACTGAAACACAAGCCTTGTTGACTCTTTCGTGTCCCTCGTTCAGTCTGTTTACAACCGGTGGAGATTTTATGAAACAAAACGGTCCGTTCATTGATATTTCCGCGCTCCGACACCGAAATCGGACGCTATACCTACAGGAACGTAAGATAATTCCCAAGCACCACTCGACAGTTGTACATCCTCCCAGCCCTTGTCACCCGTTTGAACTGTACACAATTTCATACACAATGTGTACAAGTCATTATTACGTTATCGAAGGCGTGTGCGTGTTTTTTTTCGCCCCGCACAGTAACGTATCATCTATCGGTGATTCTTTTTCCGGAGACACATTACCCTGCACCCGACAGCGATAATCCTTTCGTCAAACAATATGTACATATATACACGCATCGCGGGTGTACACAACACCAGATATATTCAAGAACACACAGGGTCGTTCCGAAGATGAAAATCAAGGGGGGGGGTGAATAATATGACTACAATTTTTTTACTTAGTGTACGTAGTATAATTAACTATATGAAGTCGTATTTTTACTTTTTAATATGTATATATATGTCAGTGTCGCGCGATTTTAAAATTGACAATTTAATTATATATATATATATATATATAGAAAAATATTTTATATTGTATAATAAGTAATTATATAAATTGTATTCCTAACCTAACTGTATTACGAAATATGTAATATTTGTTTTCCGTGAGTAAAATTAGGTTCTTCTAGGCTATAGTGAAACAAGTGCGATTGCCGACTGGTTTTTTCGTTGGAGGGGTGAGACACCTCTCCCCCAGACATCACTTCGTGACGGCCCTGATAACACACGCAGATGCACTGGGTAGGTGTACTCGGCGCATAAACGCCAACTGAGGTGTAAACAAGCACGCGCACATACATATTGTATCGAATTAGCGGTTGACTTTGCGCAAATAGCGGATTTCGAATACGACGGTACTACCTTTGCGCGTGGCTTGTGCCACGAATAGCTGTTTCGACCCGTTTTAGGATACGTGTACAGTTAATTTTTCCGCGCCAAACCGCGTTACTGCCCAATGCTGCGTTATTATAATGCATAGGAAGTAACACGCATGTATAATATTATTATTATGATGTCTTGGTATGTATAATAGAAAGAAAACAAATAGTTTTCGAAGCAAACGAAACGCGATGCGCAGTAACACGGTCCCGCGCAACAAACGCATATTATGTATTATTTTCGTGCCATTATTATTATTTTTATTACTGTTGTTATTGTTTTCAATAAGTACGTGTGCGATAAGACCGCCACGAGTGAACGTCGTGGTAGAAGTTGATGCGAAATATGTATATTATTATTATTATTATTATTATTATTATTAATCTTATTATTAATTGCGCATGAATGACACCAGTAGTAAATAATTCCGTTCACGACGTCAACTCGATGACGATTTGAATCCATGGTTACTAATTAAAATCGTCAACGGCCTACATTTCATGCATGGCAGAAAGTGTCCACGGTCCACAGGGTCCAGACGGATGATCTACCGCCGTCGTGTTTTGTCCGATATTATCACTGTTTTTGACAATATTTCAGACGGTTTGAAATATTTGAGCCCAAAAATGATAGTCGAAAAAAGTAAATTATATTTTTTATTTATTAATTTTATTAAAAATTAGTAGTATTATCACCAAAAAAATGCTTTAAATTATTTCGTACTTAATCTCTTAGTTTTTTTGAGTTCTGAAACCTTAAAACTGCAACACTAAACAGCTTAGAAATATTGCCTGTTATCGTTTCTTATAGCCCTTCAAATTTCATGATCAGTTCGTTCTCGTCGGAACAATTTATACTCCTCCGACACGTTGAATCATAAAGTTTTCAGCTTTTGTCGGTTTTCCGATCTGTACATGCCCTTCCACCAGGTTTTCAGATTCCGACTTTCCATAATCGTACTAAGAGTTTAATGTTTTCTAATTTTTTTTATGGTCCCGCAAGGCTCAAACGATTGCATAGGCGTGAGTACAGGGAGCTAGATCCGATTTTGAGTTTCCGAAAAAGCAATGTGCGTCTTTCGTTTCGCAGTTGTGTATGTTACGTCGACGAGACGGAGGTGGGCTTAACTTTTTCACGGCTAACGTCACTAAAACTTTGCCGCCCCGATTATTAAACTTATATATCTTCAACCTTTGAGCCAATCGAATGTTTCGACAAATTTTCTATCTTTTAATGACTTCGGGAAAATGTCAATTGACAACCGCCGAGTTCCAACGCAAACTGTACAACGATCGTTTCTATTGAACCGCCGTTATCAAAACCGTTGTTCGGACAGTAAAGTAAACGTTATAGCAAATGAAGTATAAAAGTACGGATGATTCGCCGCCCCTTAAACGTGGCCATCAGCTCCAGGCGGCTGCCCACTGTGCCTGTTTAAAAATCCGCTCGCGGTCGACGCGCAACGCGTCGTGCCGCGAAACGTAGACGCGCGCACGGCAACGCGACGGGACGTGACGGACGAGGTGTAGGATGGCGGGAGGGGGCAGGATCGAACGTGTTGTGCGCAAGATAAATCAACGGTCCGCGATTGGCCGGCGCGCGTACGCGGATCCCCGCGTGCAGACGAAAAGCATCCCCCCCACGCGCGCGCCCGCGATCGGTCCCCGTCGCGCGACCCCGCCGCCGGAACGACGGTCCCACCCGGCCGCCGCCGCCGCCCTCCACGGAGAGACAAGGCCCGGCGCTCGTTTCGAGTATAAACGAACGCCACAAGTTGATTCGCGTCACACAAGTACCTATCACACGGTCGTTGGAGCAACAGCCCGCCTGGAGTCCTCTGCAGACTATCTTTCCAGTTTGGACGCCCGTCGGTGAGTACGCGTCACATACGTCAGTTAATATTATCGTCTTGGATAACACAACGGGGTTCGCGCGCGCGTGGTTTTCAGGATTTTTTCCGGCGATTAAGGGTAGGGATGGGAAGGGCTCCTTTGATGTCGTCTTGTAAACGCGTTAAGACGCAAAAAAATGTTTTTTTGACAAACGAAAAACGGTTCGTTGCTTAAAATTTAATGTTCTCGTGTAAATAGAAAAAAAAACGCGACGTAACGTTTCAAACCCGAGCGAATAATATGTCGCGCGGCACAAACTCAGGACCCGGGGCCAGTCAGGACCCCCAGGGGAAACCCGCTTCCCCTTCGGAACGACCAAGTGGTTCTCGAGATCTCGGGGGCGATTTTTATTTGAAACCCTCCCCCCCGAAAAGTCGTAGTGTATCCAGTTCGGTTTTCGGGCCGTTCGGAAACAACGAAAATAATAATAATTATAAACGGACGGAGCGCGATGCGTTGGAGGTGTACGGGTGAATTTACGTCGGATTCATATCGGTCGGCCATCAAAGATTTTCGCGGCTCCTCGCGTGATCGCACGTACAATATTCCGGGTACACGTCCATTTTTATCATATTTTTACGTACATTTTTTGCGGGTGTACATTCCTGAATCGATACGTTATGATTACACAGCGATTATTTTAGCCGTTTACTGATACGCTTATGTTTTCCACCGTCAAGTGTACACATGACGCCGAATAACGACGGAGCAGCGATAATACCACTGCCTGGAATATTTTAATGTGGAAGACGTGTTCGGTTAAAGTTTTATTTGTTCTTATATATTATATTCTTATATTTCACCGATTGTCTAGGTGTTCCGGTGTTTTAAACCTTCTGTATTAATTGACTCGAAAAATGTCAAACGGAATACTAAAATATTGAAAAGGGAAATTGTGTTGAAAATCAATTTTTTTACAAACTCTTTTAGTTTCTCCGTTTTTTTTTCAACCGCACTAAAATGCTTTTAAATATTGTAACGTGAAAATTACCTAACTAGAGAATAAAAACCCCGTTTTATTTAATATTTATTAATGTAATAATTAGTTTACATGACGAATTGTTTCATTTCATTATGAGATACCATATTTATTTACATATTAATGATTAAAAACAATAAATAACAATTAAAACGGTTCGTGCATCTAACGCAAATCGTATTAGAATAATAGTTATAATATCGTAATAATATTCCAAGTATGTGAGAATAATAACATAATAAAAATGTGTATCGTCAAGACATTTCATTTTTAATTTCTATTCGTGTTTTTCTCCATGTGTACAATATGTATTGTAGCGCATTTGGTTACAAAAAATAATGTTTTCTGTTGCGATTAAATTACCCAATGATATGTTCTCGTTAAAACAGCTTTGCACCGAATATATTAATTGATGCGATCATCAATAGGTCCGGACGAGTAAATCAACAGTCAGTTTTTAAATGTTATAAGGTGTTTTGTATACGAGACGAAAATCGATTGCATTCGTCATCGTGATGATATTATGCAGTCGAGTCTAGCTTATTGAACATCAAATGATTATGATAATATTAAGAGTAAAATAGTTTTAATTGACCCGCACTCCACGTGCGATAATCATTAGTTATTGGAGACAGTGTTAAAATATACCAGATTTCGTAGTCTAATCAAAACATAATTGTCATACGATTATTAATATTAGGTGGTGCGTATAAATAATAATAACATTAATAATATCAGTGAATATTCGGTCCGCATCGCATCGCAGTTATTAGTGCTTTGCCCATTAAACTTGTCTTCCTTCGGGCGCGCAAAGGTTGTTAACAGTTTAATACTTTACAATAATATTGCAAATGCATAAATCGTAAACTTAATAGTCATTAATCGTATCAAGACATTTCTGGTCCAATCAAATCTATCGTATCCGATAAAAACAGTTTGGCAATCAAACTTTATTGGTTTAAAAGAAGGGGAGAGGTTATTATTAATGCTTGCCCGAACGAGAATACATTGTGCATATATCGTGCATATTATATGCTACGGCTACATTATATCTACAGACAGTACAAAATAGGAACATTAATACCATTTTATATCGCATCGTGACGATAACATATTGTTATGTAGACGCAGTGTTGTTTTTTAGTAATAAAACGTTTTGCTGTATCATTGCAGTGTAATGAATGAATTATTCGTAATCGACATTGCCAATAACATATTTTACGCACTAATACCATAAACACGCGTTTAGTGCGTTTGTAGGACAAATTAAAATAAAGGGTTTGGTTCAGAATTTAACGAGGTGTTAAATTATATTCCCGAAAAGATGGCCGGACAGCAATGAGCATTTCGAATTAAACAAAACAATTTTTACCATTTCACAGTGTTTGAATTAACATCGTATGACTTGCGTACTGGAAAAAATAAAAGCTATCGGTTAAAAAAAAATCTAAAACAATTGTATCTTCTACTACTAATGACCCGGCTGCTGATTGTCTAATATTCAGTGCCGTAGCAACCAAATATTGTGTCCAAGGTAAAATTACAAAATGTGCTCTTATGTATTTTTTATTTAAAAATAATTTAATTATTATATATAATTTTCAACAATTGCTTCAATTAAAACAAAGGACGTTGACGTAGTTGTAAATATAATATACAGCATTGACCGTTGTAGTTTTTATCATAAAATGCAAGTTTTTCATTTTTGGAAGTCCCAGAAATTACGCCCGGAGCGTAGGCACTTCTCGTGCTGCAAATAGTGAGGTAATCGAGAATGCATAGCACCTCCAATTGGGCCTCATTTGTGCTTAAATACGGTCCCAAAAGCACAATATATCTTCTTAATATTTCAGAAACTGTTACGGAATCTTTGTACACAAATGTCTTAACTGCTTATGTAATTTTTACATCATAACCAGTCACAGTTGCGTTATTTTTCCAAACTTAAAATTATAAAAAATTATTTACGAACCTCCATTAGAAATTGAAGACTTACAAGTATAAATATTATAAATATTGGACGTAACAGAACTCAAAATTTAATTATAAATTACGTGATTAACAATTTTGACAAAAGCCTGAATAAATAATAATAATTAATTTTAACTTGTAATCTAAACACTAATTTCATTATCTAATCTAATCCCTAATCCCTAATCTAATCCCTAATCAATACATAACCATTAATTACTCTTATACTATCTAATTATGTTTTATCATTTTTATGTTATCAACAATTTAATATTTAAAATGTTTTTGTACTTTTATATTTTTTGTACTGTATAGGTAAATATTATTTTAAATATTTCCAAGTTAATGCTGATTTAACTGAATATTGAAATATTTTAATTATACTAAAACCAAACTGGTATTAAAAAGTTAATATTTTCTCTTTTAAATTATTATGCTTTCTAAATAAAATTATGATGAAAACATTTTAAAGGGATTCAAGTTATTGTTTACACTAGGGACCCACAGATCATAGTTGCGACACTACTCTCGCCCCCCCCCCCCCCCCCCATTACTACGGCCCTGCTTATATTATAATGTGTTCCATATTCACTATTGCTGCTTTTAGATATAATGATTATAATCGATCAATAAAGCCGTGCAAAAAAATTCTAACAAACATTTTCTAGTTAATTGAGAATTTATCCCTTAATTTTATAAACTATAAGAGCTAATAATAATAATTATAAGGCTAGAATTTTAATGATCTAAATAATATTTTAAAAAAATGCAAAAATGCTTTAAAAAAACATAAAAAATTCACTATAAAAATGCGTAAAAAATGTATTTATTATAATTTAAAAATTATATTATAAAAATCATGTTACATATTTAATTATATTTATTTAACATAAAATAAAATAAAAGGTATTTATTTGTTTTATATTTAAATTTTGATTAACTTTACTAAAAATTTAATTTATTTCATAATTTACTGTTATAATCATCGTTAAACTCTTGTATATAGAACAATTTCTTTCAAGTATTTTAAATTTAAATTTTGTTCTATTTTTGATAAAATAGGTACATGAATCGATATGCTTATATTTATTAGGTAACCAATTTAATAGATTCTTAACGTGCAAATTTTGGCAAAAAAATGCCGAAACGCATAATCAAAAATCCTAATATTTAAGAATTTAAAGATAAAAACTTAAGATTCTAAAAACTTGAAAAATGCCCTAAAAACAGCAAAATATGCTCTAAAAGAACATAAAATAAAATTTAATTTGTCATGAAATGCAAAAAAAATGCAAAGTTAAAACTACATTGAATTAATCAGTATCACTTTAAACAAAGTTTCTTCTTATTTTTATTTGTTGGTATATCAAAAAAAAGGTGCATTTGTATTAAAATCCTAGCCTTAGTTATAATCAATGTTTTACAACTGCAGCAAAAAATTAGGTTTTATCGAAAAAAAGGCATTTGATGGAGTAAATTAATTAAGAATATTTACGTAATTGATTTTTCAAATATACTTCAAAGCAAATTTCTCAAAACTCATTAAATTATGTCAAATAACATATTTAGGTGCATCACGTTTCGAACATAAATAATTTCACTATAAATAGTTACAATTACCAATTGTAGTGTGCGTTGTTTTATCGAAAGCAAGTTTGCTTTTAAAATGTTTTTTTAAAAAAAAAAACCTGGTTCTTATCTGTATGTTTTTTATATTTTGATCTTTGGGTGAGAGTAATAAATTGTGAGAGTAAATAAAACCGAATAAATTATAGATTCAATACGATTTTTTTTCTAGAGTCCAAACCCATACGTGTACGTTTGAGCCATTGTTATATATTGTTATTATACAACAATGCATATTTAGCCCCGGATAACGCCACACGTTAAAAGGGGCTACAATGTGATTTATAATCGTTGGCTAACAAATACAAAGTACTGTCTTATCAATTAGTTATGACTATACTACAATATACAAAATTTAATATACTTAGCTTATTTTAATTAATATTTCTTTTTCTTTTTCTGT